AATACTAATAAGTATATAATAATACGCCTTAGATATATTAATATCTAAAATATATAGCTAAAGTAAGAGTATACTAAAGAGTTTTTTAGAGTTAAGTATTTAAAGACTAAGAGTATACTAGCTAATAAGCTTACTAAAAATCTATTAGTTTAGTAATTTACCTACTTTAAGAAGTAGTTAAATATAAAAAATATTAAATTATTAGTAGTATTATAAAGCTTATAAAGTATAAAAAAGTTTTTAGCTACTCTTTTTAGAAAGTAGTAGAAAGTATATTTTAAGTATAGCCTCTCTTATAGACTTATAAAAAACTACTTATTAAAAAAGGCTTTTATTAAAGTATATACTCTAAAGAGTATAGTAAAATAAAAAAGTATATACTTAGAACTATAATTAAAGTAATACTTCTTTAGTTATCTAAGCGTAAAGTAAGAGAAGTACTACTAGTTATTAGTAGTATTCTTATAAGCTTAAAGATACTTAAACTCTAAAGTAAAAAACTAAAAGAGTATAACTTTTTTTATAGATATAAATATATAACTAAGCTTAGTAGTAATACTTTTATAGGTAACTATAATAGTATTATTAGTAATAGTTTTAGAAAATATACTTTTATTATTATTATTAGAAAGCGCTATATTATTATTTATAGACTTATTATAGTTAATCTACTTAACTACTAGATAAAGTTTTATAAAGCTTATTAGTACTAAGAAGTAAAAGTACTAAAATAAAAACTTACTAAAAGAGCGCTACTTAGAAGTAAAAGCGCTATTAGCTTTATTATTAAAGTTAAGTTAAAAGCACTTAGTACTAAAAGTATACTTAGACTTATTAGTATTATACTCTACTTTTAAAGTATTAAAGCTCTACTTCTTACTACGCCTCTAAATTATATAGCTATACTTAAAATACTACTTAAAAGTAGTATTATAATTATAAATAAGCTTATAAAAGTAAGAGTTCTTAATATTATATAAGTATTTAGTTTTTAAGTTCTACTTTATAGTATAAAACTAATTAACTATATACTTAGTAACTTTCTTAATATACTTAGATCTAAAAAAAAGTTAGTAAAGCTTCTTAAGCTTAAAAAAAAGTATATATATATATTATTATATCTATAATTACTAATAGCACTAGTAAGGTAGCGCTTAAACTTCTTACTCTTATTAATACTTATATAGTTTTTATAAAAAGAGTTAGTAGTCTTTTTAGTACTTATAAACTAAAAGTATTAGAAGTATACTATCTTATAAAGCTTACTAGTAGTAATAAAAGTAGACTTCTTAGAGCTACGCTTATATATAGACTTAGTTACTAAAGCTCTATTATTTTTATTATTAAAATTATTATTAAGTATATACTTTTTACTATTATACTTTTTATTATTATACTTATTAGAAGAATTAGTAATATCTAAACTATTAGACTAAATAAAGAGCTCTAAATTAAAGAGAAAGCTCTTTATACTACTTATAATAATAAAAAAATACTTTTTCTTCTTAAAAGTAAAGCTAGAAAAAAGTAAAGTATTATAAACTATACTACTCTCTTAAGAAATAAAAAGCTTACCTAAAGCTTTAGTAAAAAGCTTAGAAGTATTAAAAGAAATAGTAGTAGAATTCTTAAAAGTAGAGCTCTTAGAACTAAAAGAATCTAGAAATAAAATATTAAAATAAGTATTACTAGTAGCTAAAGAACTAGAAACTATAATAGTAATTTTAGTAGACTACTTATAGAAATTACTAAAAAGCTTTTAAAAGAGCGTAGTAATATTAGAATTATAGTTAGTATACTTTTTTTAAGTAGTTTTACTAGCTTACTTATTATTATACTTTTCTATTATACTAAAAGAATTAGTAGACTACTACGCTTAGTAAATTACTTTTTTTAGAACTATCTTTTAATAAAGCTTAATAGCTTTTAAAAGTAGAATTTTAAAGTATTCTTACTTAGTATACTATTAATTAATAAAGTACTTATTCTTAAACTTAATATACTTAGTTTTAGTAACTACTTTAGCTTTAGAATTCTTATTACTATACTTTAAGTTATACTTAACTTACTTATTACGCTTATAATATAAATACTACTCTTTTTCTATAGCTTAACTAGTAATATAATACTTATAAGTAATCTTATTATAATACTCTTACTTTACTTTATTCTTAGCTTTAAAATTATAAGTATACTACTTATTAGTATACTTCTAAGTAGCGCGCTTATTATAATATAAAATATTATTAGCTTACTCTTAAGTAACTATATTACTATACTTAGTAAATAAATTAGACTTTTTAAAAGTATAAGTTAGAGTAGTAAATAAGTTATAAGTAGAAGTAGAAGTACTTATAAAACTAGAGCTTTACTTTTTACTAAAAAAACTATACTTAGAAGAGTTTTTAGAAATACTATAAAGCTTATTTAAGTACTTATAATTCTTTATTTTAAAAAGAGTAGCTAAGTACTTAAAGAAGTTAGAAATATTAGAGCTTAATAGCTTAGCTTTTAAAATACTTATATAACTAAAGCTTAAAGAAGTTACTTTAAAAGCGCTTATAAAGCTAGAACTAAACTACTTATTCTTAGAAAAGTAGCTATTCTTATACTTATACTTATTTCTCTTTAATATAATACTAGAAAGCTTAAAAATAGATATAAAAAAGTATACTTAGTTTAATTAGTATAATAAAGTATACTACTAGAGTTAGTAAGCATACTAATAAAAATTAGAAATACTTACTTTTATTTTAAATAAAAGGTAAAAAGTATTTAGCTAATTAAATAATTTTTAGTAATATTATAATTAGCGTATATATACTAAGTAAGCTTTTAGCGCTATATACGCTCTAATAAGTATATAATTAGTATTCTTAGCTATAATAAGAGAGCTTATTATAACTATATAGCCTACTTTTATAAAATACTTAGAAAGTATATTATAGAATATACTTCTAGATACTCTTTAAGAGTATAGTATATAATTATACTAGTATAGATTAAGATAAGCTTTTAGAAGCTTTACTACTTAAAAGAGCTTTTTAAGTAAGCTTATAAAATAATAATTTATCTTCTATTTATTTCTATACTTCTAGACGTAATAGTAATCTACTCTAAGAAAAAAAAAAATATTAGGTCTTAGCTTTAAAAAGTCTAGGCTAACTTAGCACTAGCTATAAATACCTTAGAATTACTATTATAGCTTAGTAGTAATTTATCTTTAGTCTTTTTAGAATAATATACTTAATTATAGCCTAATATTATATATCTAGTATTTAACTAACTCTATTATTTAATAAATACTACTTATTTTTATTAAACTTTTTACTATTATTAAACTTATAAATAAGCTTAGTAAGAGCTTTATATTCTCTTTTTATTTATAAAATAGTATTAATATAGTTTATACTTTTATTAAAATTTTATTTATAAAATTAAAAAGCTAAAAGTACTTATAGTTTTTTTTAAGCTACTTTTTTAGCTATTTTTTATCTAGTATAAATAGTCTAACTTTTTAAAAGTTATATAAAGCTATATCTACTTTATTTATTATTATAGTATACTCTATATTAACTATTTTATTAGTATAAGTCTAAGTAAGTATTAAATATATATAAAAAGAAGCTATATTCTTATTTTATAGAAATAGGCGTAAGTTATAAAGAAATATATTTATTTTTATATATTAATAAAAGTTTTTAGCTAAGTAAAAGCTTTAATTTTATAATACTTATTACTAAGTAGTATTTTACTTATAAAATACTAAAATTTTTAGATCTAGTATATATACTATAGTATATATAAACTTTAATATTAGAATTATAACTATACTAAGTTATTATAACTAGAGCTTTTTAATAAATATTAAATAGAAATTATTAAGATTAAAATAAAATAATCTATTAAGATAGTAACGTTAAGATAATTAAGATTATATTGTGTGCGAATGCTTACGGGTATCTCTTGTCTGATAACTTCTTCGTCGCTAAACTCTAAGCTATCGCGGTAGAAGACCGTAAGTTACTCTAGCTTACTTGCGAAAGTCTATAATATACTAACAAATCTAGTTACCTAGATAGCTCTGTATTATAACGCCCGTTAAGTTGCTACTATCTAGGCTATTACTACTACTTAGGTTGTCGCTGCACAAAGCCCTCTAGCTCTCTAGCCTCTCTACTAACTTAGGCTTAACCCTGCATAAGGCCGTCTCTGCTAGAACGTAATAAATAAATCTAGTAACAGAGCGAACAAAGCCGCTACAAACAATGCAAATCCTTAATCTTGTCTTCTAAGGTTGTGTCTTTTTATAATTGTGATAATTGTACTAAGTGTAGCACGCTATTCTAGAGAAAAACTAAACAGCCTAGAGCCTACGTTAGCATTAAGTAACTAACTTTAGAAACTTTTATCTTAATGTAGTCTATAGATCTATTTAGGGGGTTTCTAGTATAAGGCAGTAGTGATTTAACAGTGTTATTCATGTTCTTGCGGTGAAACACCGCAATGGCGTCGGTGGCGATTTCCCGACGGATGTGAAGGGCCATTTCGGCCAGCCCATACGCGAGCCGTCAAGAGCCGTCAAGAGCAAGTCTTCCTACTTCATGCTGCTCGGGTGATTTATACCAACGCGTCGCAGTCAAGGCTACTCCAGGACCACCCCCGCACGACAGCCAAAGAGACCGAAGCACAACCGCCCGTGGCAGTTGATCTCGATAGAGAAGCCGTTACGATGCTGAAGCCTCCACGATGCAGCAAAGCAAGTCCTTGGGGTTTTTATCAATGGCAGATCGCTCAATGGCAGATCGCGGCGACATGATTATCAACATGTGGACGCGGCATTGGGTCGTGAGTGCTGCCTGACGGCTACCGTATCGTTGTAAACCTTGACGCGGTCGACACCTAGATCACACTGCGGACAATGGTGATGACGACGAATGCACGCTTGGCCTCGCCATTGAGGCCCAAGTCTATTCCCTCCATCCGCTCCTAGTCCCGGACTACGAGAAGAAGGAGAAAAACGCCATCCGGCGGCAGTAAAAGGCGTTGAAGAAGGCGGCAAAGGGTAAAAGCAAAGCAAAGGCCCCGACTGCGGACGATGAGTACAACCCAGAGGGACATGCTTGGTCGTATGTTGTCGGCATAGGATTTGGCTTCGTGCGGGTCGCCTCGAGGCTCATAGCGGCGGCATCGTCGACAGCAACCTGTATCCAAGGCTCGCAGACGCTGATGGGGACGTTTCCGCCTGAGAGCTCAAGCTCCTCCAGGGTCCTCTTCATACGGAAGCCGGCCTTGAAGCCGATGTCGCGGCCGATCCGCTCGCCGTCTGCGAAGGCAGTGTTGATGAATGTGACCATCGTGGAGTCGATGTCGTCGAACTTCGCGTCGACGAAGGTGTAGATCTGCTCTCGCAGTTCCGACTCGTGGGCTTTGTGCGGTTTGAGGCGCTTATCGACTTCAGCACTCACTCGGCGCTCGATCTCGATCTTTGTTCGCTCGTGCATGAGCTCATCGAAGGAGAACTTTTGGTCGGCGAATTGCTTCATCTTCTCGAGTATATCCTTGCACATTCGCTCAACCACGCCGCGTTCAAGCGCTCGAGCCGCGTCATCGCTCCGGTCGAAGCTCAGATGTTCATCAGCGATGCCGTCCTTGTGCGTTTGAACCAGGTGGGCGGCGGCCGCGTGTTGAAACCTCGCCAACTCGCGGGCCTGATTAGTCTTTTCATTGACGAACAGAGTCACGTCAATGTTGTAGCCTTTTCCGTGGAGCAGGTAAGCCATCCAGAGGTTGTCGTTGGCGGTTGAGTTGAGGTCGGTAATGGCATTGTCCTTGTCGATTTGAATGCTAGTAACATCGGCCCGTAGGGCTTTGTTCTCTGGAGTCAAAGTCAGTAACAAGGGACCACCAAGGGTAGAGCTCGAAATCGGACAAAGGCACATGATACATGAAGAATGCGAACAGGCCCGGAGCCGACATTGGAACAGCGATACGCAATTATGAAGATGCTGAGTTGATGTAAGCATCAAAGTAGTTATTATTGTCCAAGGAAATCTCTAGTCTGTAGTCTACATCACAGCAAAACGTTGCAACGTATAAGATTTGGTATAGATGTGGGCTCCAGGGTACCTCGAAAATAATACTAATTATCCCAGAACTCACAATAAAACGTTGGTCTGTAGCCTACATCAAGATGAAAAGCCGCAAAGTAGAGGGTCTAGCATTGACGTAGGCCCCACGGTATCCGGCACTGCCGGAAAATGAGGTGATTATCCTTTGCTGCCTGTTCAGGGCGTCGCGTCTCGTCCCGACATCAGCGAGCGTTGCGGACTCATTGCGGATGTCCTTGAGGAGGAGGGCGCCAAACGTAATGGACAAGTCGTATCGCCCGACCTTGTATTGCAGAAGGACGAGCTCGTGGTTTAGGTCGTTGCGAATTCCTTGCTTGACAGAGGTCGACAGGTCGACAGACCGCCAGTTGGCTTTGTACGGGAGGGACGCGTGTGGGGATGGTAAGATGGCTCGCGATCCAGGGGGCGAGGCTCTTAAAGTGACTATACTGTCGGGCGCTACATCCAGGACGATTGCCCGCTGCTCCATTGGTGGTCGTAACACCAGGAGCGCGATTTCGATATGATAGCGAATACTTCTGCACGCCGTTTCCAGTCGGTCTCGGCCGAGCAACTTGCTGTCGTGTATGGTGGCAGCATAAACAACGAACTCGAGACTGTCGGCGGTCTCTTCCTTGGCATCCAGAAGCCAAACTTTGTTGATGGCTTTGTACTGCTCAATGACCGCTGAGGTCAACACATGACAGGGATGTACGTGCTTTCGAACCAGCTCAGCTGGCCAGTGGACTGGCGCGGACTGCGCATGTTAGCGGTGCAATCAGTGTACTCTGAAGACGCGATGCATACTTTTAGCTTCATCCATCTCCCCCGAGCTACAATGTCCTCGAATTTGTTCTCTAGGAAGAACTGAGCGGGCTCTTCTTATCGATGGCGCCGACTCTCTTCCTCCGCTCTCTTCGGTTTGCAAGCGCGGATCTTGGGCCACTGCGGAGCCATAGTGGGTGTGTTGGTGTGGTGGGTCTCAGCTACCGTAGGTACTAGAGACAGCAGAGATTGGGCAGACAACACGAACATCCTGTTAAAGTGTCAGACATGGCTTCATAGATCTGAGTTGACGTGCTATCATACCATTTCGCCTGTTCAGTGTGTTATGGCTTCGTGCTGATAGCTATTCGTGCCGTGCTTTCGCAGTTTACGAAATCTGCTCCAAAACGCATCCATTTCACTTTAGGGCAGTATGCTCAAAAGGTGGCTGTGTGCTGATGATATAGGGTAGCCGGTACGCATAATAGGGTGTCTGGCCTGGTGACCCATTGCGATGATTGCGATAATGCCCAGGTGGTACTCAGTGATGTGAGCGAGAAGTCGGGGGTCATCTGCCTGGTTGACGCGTTCGGCACGGGCCCATGACGCAGTCCAATTGCTTATCGATAAACCTCACAAGACAACCTTGGAATGTGGGGCAAGCTGCGGTGTCAACACAGCTGGATGACATCACCCCGCTATACACGGCCTACGCAGTGCTTCTCTCGAATCGTCGGTCACCCAGCTTTGCCGATCCAGGAAATTCCATACAGCGTGTTATGGTGATACGATGCAAGTGAAAACATCTTGATGCGAAGTGAAGCACGGCATTATCATACTATGACAGCATATGGCATCCTGCAAACTTTCCCGAAGGTGAAGCGACACTGGTCTAACACTCAGCCCATAAGCTCGGCCCCGCTTATTTCTAGAGATAAGCCAAGAATAAGGATGCGCGCGATGCGCCTATACTAAAGGAGGGAAGTAGGAAATTAGATCAGCCGAATGAAATGAGGAAAACGAGATTGGAGAACTGCGTATGGTGCAGCGCTTCCAAACAGGAAATGCGAACAAAGAGCCTGACTACAAAAGGAAAATTTCGTCAATCTGCGTATGGCACATGCTCTCGTTCCCGTCATTCTGCCTGCATCGCAGCATCAAAGTATTCTTTAATGAGATAGCGGTGATCTTGTATCACCATCCCTACGTCAAGCACCTTGACGTTGTGCTCAACAGCGTATGCCTTGCCGTAATTGACGCGACTCTCCAGCTCAAGGTATTCTCCTTCCGTGGATTGGACTTGGATGGAATATTTTGTTAAAGCCTCTCCTGGAAGTTGATTAGGTGCGGCTACCGTAGTATGAATGATGCCGTGATCACCCATCCTCACACCGGGTTTCGCGGCGCCGCGACCTCTATACGTTTGTATAGGGCTACGGGTTACATTAGTATACCAAGGCAGAAATTGTCGATGAAATTTACGTACATGCACTGACTGAATTCGCCCTTGTTACGGACAACGACGAAACGGCGTATTTCACTAAAAGCCGTCTCACCATATTGCACAGTACTGAAGTGGGTTGAGTTGCGGGTCTTTCCAGGGTTCATCTGGCCGGCAGGTTCCGTCCAAAGCATCTTGAAGACCTGAGAGCATACGGTTAGTATTGTATCGGTACTGCTCAGGGAGTTGAGCTTACTCGACCAAGTACAAAGAACGTCGCACGCGATGGTTGCGCCACCCGTCGATATCCTTATAAGCGTAAGCGTTCATTGATCAGATTGTGCGGTTTATTTAACTTACTCGCATCTAGTTGTTCCTGAGCAAAGCTCTCATTGAGATTCGTTTGTATGTATCTTCGATCGAGACTATGAATAGTAGATTGCACGTCAGGCGGCAGAGACGTTACGTGCCGGCGTGGCCCTGGATACTGTGATGGCTGACCGGTCGCTCCATCTTGTGTTGTGTGCTGAGATTGACTTTGCTGCAAAGAGTTAAAAGGGTAGCCGTCATGAGCCTGGGGGTCTTTCTGTGGCCATGGTGAGCCTGCTGAAATCGTCGTCGCCGAAGCATGAGCGGAAACGTGAGACGGACTTGGCGATCCGTACTGCTGTGTTGTGTAATTCAACCCTGAGCCGCCGGTATTGTCTACCCGACTCCCTCCTGGTACATAGTACGACGAAGATTGCTGAGTACTGCTTCCACTTGCATTGTTTGTTCCGGGCACAGTTATAGGCCATTGGATCGTGGAAGCAACGGTTTGCGGCTGGGTCGCCAGCGACGTGAAGGCTGGATTTACAACAGTACGGGGTATACTATGTCTTGGTCAGGCAATGTTCAGATCAATGGTGTATGCGCGACACTGAACTAACCTCGCACTGGGTCTATTGTCATACGTAGTCGCGGCCGGTGCTGGAGGAACAGCGGCCTCTGCGGGACCAGCCCATAAGATATCCAACGTTGTGACGCCATCATCCGCCATCAAATATGAGTAGTGACGGCCATGTGGCTGTGACCAGGTCCAAGGCCCGTATCTCGGCATAGCTACATGTTCGCGACGTGACGACCAGAAGGCATTGGATAAGGGTAGCAACAGGCCTTAATAGCTTGTGGATGTCAGAGCGGGGCACTCCGGACCCCAGGAAGAGCCTCTTCGCCGAAACGAGATGGCTCATCTTTCTGTGGCGTCTTTGCAGATGCAAGCTTGTGACCGACTCTATATGAATGCTCGACGTGGTCGATGCACCACTAGCGCGCCGTATCGTGAAAAGGGTGGGCTGGGTGGGGCAAGCTACGGCGGGGGACGCGTCTTCGCGTAATCGCCGTTGACGCCTGGGTGGCAGGTCCACCGCAGCCTCTAGTCAACCATCACAACTCTGTTGCGCTGCTTCCCTAATCAGGCATCATTGAAAGATACTACGAATCCTAAGATCTGTTACTGAGCGCGTCGATTCTCACATGTCACACCTTGTTAGAGATTCTACTTTGCGCTGAGCGCACGGCCGTTATGCAGGCTCCTTCCAGTGTTGTCGAGAAATCAACGGTACACCAATGCATCGTGGAAGGGGCAGGGTACACATTGACACCCACAGGCTGAGCCGATGGAATCAAAAAGCTCCGAGCTCATCGCGGAATTCTTCGATGACGAATGTGCTGATCGAGCAAATTATGAGCCACTTGATGATCATGAGATCAGATCTTCCAGCAACGGAATATCAAGAGGGCTCATACCGGACCTTCTTTCACCATGTTTAGTCTGCAAATCCCGGAAAGGAATCCTCAAGAAAGTGCGCTTTGATGAGGCTTGCGGGCCTCATGAGGAGGATAGCATCCCGGACGAGAATGTGCTTGTGCATCCAAGATCGCCCGTCCCATCTGCATCAGTGGGTTTCCACGGCGAAAAGCTAGTTGTAGACGACAATGGTTCTCCGAAATCTATCTCCCTCCCATTGCCCGCACCACCGCCGCCTCCGCCTCCACCACCGCCACCACCGTTGGAAGCCCCTCGACCCCCGTCCCTGTTCAATAAGGCTCTTGAAGCAAACAAACATTTGAACGCGGCGGCCTTCCGATTGTATACCAGCTTCATGAACGAACTCTCCGACTTTGTCATCCAGCAAGGAGAAGTAGTCGCAATGCGCCTTGCTGTTCAAGAAAGACGGAAGCAGCTGCATACACTGAGGGAACACGTCTCCAGATGTGATATGCTACTCATCAATTGTATGCGCGAGCAAATGAATGGCAGTCTTTCTGTAAACGAACGCGTTATGCTCAAGTACTTTGAAGCATCGCAGGCGGCAAGAGACGAGATTGGCCCGGTTGAATCGGAATACGAACCTCTTGAGATAATGCTCGGGTCGAAGGAACATCAGCTGGTAGATATGTATTCCAAGATGGAAGAAACCTTCGAGCATTTTTTCAGACTCAACATAACCCCGACCAGTGAGTCGAAAGAGCCGATTAAAATCGAATATGAGGCTTCATCGGCCAGCTCTGTCCTCGAGGAAAATGTCACTCCTGGAGGTATCGAGCATCTTCACGGAGCTCTCATTGGAGAAAACGTTGGTATTGGCCAGCATCCGAGCCACGTCAGGGAGTTCAGACCAAGAGTTCAGGAACGCTGGGTGCGTGGAGAGTCTCATAGAAGAAGCGCATCGTTGGGATCAATTGATTTGCCCAAACCTAGCAACACTACTCTCGCAGATGAGGGCGCTTCTTTCGGCGATATGACCGGTACGCTTGGATCTATCGGAGTGTGGATAACAGATAAGATCGATTTGACTGGAACTGGTGCAACACCCCAGAACCAGTATAAGCATGAGAAAGCGGCCTTTGGTAGTAACTATATCGAAATCTCTGGTGCGCTACCGGACTTGACGAACGACTTCCCGGTCAACCCAGGTCTCGACGAAGGAAATCCTCTACTCTTACTCGACGAGAGCAACGAGACAAGAGCTATCCTCAGCGATTATCTCGTCAATTTTGAGAGCACACCCGACCGGGTGAATCGCTGGATGTTACATCACCTCCGCGTCTCGCCTCGCGAGATTTACACGCTTCACAGGCATATCACCAAGCTCACATCAGAGCCAACACTCTGGGCGACGTCAGTGCTCAAGCAATGGCCACACGATATCTTTCGACACAGCGATCCTTTTGACAAAGGCTCGGCCGAGATTGAGGAGAGCGTGTTGAACCCTCAGATCCTCGGCTACCACGGGGCATGTGATCCCGAATGCCGTGATACTCACCCCTGGCCGGATGAGGATGCATGGCTAGAACCGAGGTCGTCCAATTTCTCCACTGTGGAAACTGCCCCAATTCGACCAGCACAGCTCGAACCAGAACACAATTTGCCAACAGTGCACGAGTTTCCATCGGAGCACAACGATGACGACTAACCCAACTCTAATGCCAGCGGTCTGGGTATACTATAAAGGTCTGATAGATGGGTTTGATCCGAGATTCTACTAAGGCGCGAGCATACTAGCAACACGACGATTGGTATCTCGAGAAGCAATGTGAAGCGACAGATCTCTACCTTTTGCCACCATTGATGCACTGGACACGCTTGTTGTTCTTGACCAACAGCTTCTCTCCCATATGTCTTGTCGCGGACTCAGCCGCGGTAGAACTTTCTCTCCAAGGTTGACGATGATTCAGCCACGACATGGATGTATTGAGCCACCACTTGGGGGTACAAACGCATACCCTGGTAATATGCACATGTCCTGCAAGCCTTCCTGCAACTGCATCTGGTCATGAGTCACACATTCTTTGCAGGCATATCTCATGATTTATCTTATCCACCAATCAACAGTCGATATATAGCAGAGCCGCAAGCCTTTCGGCCGCGCTCGTACCAGCACACCAATCTGGAATTGACCCTTTCACCCATGCCACATTCCAGTCTTCATCCCTTTCGCGAGCGACTGCCAGCTGCTAGCCAACCGATCTCAGACTTCTGGTCACTGTACTATCGGCCAGCAGGCTTCGTAGCCCGTTCAGCCGTATCTTCAGCCGTGTCGCGTCGCTCACCGATATGAATGTCTTAGCGCGGGGATGATTGGTCAGTCTGGATGGGCTTATTGCCACGAGAATAGCAACCAATTGATCGTGCGGGGAGACGCAAGTGTCACTGTCAGACCCGTAGTGAGATGGCTGCCTCACTCATCTGTCGCGGAGTATCTCGTTTACCGACGCCATCAGACGTGTGTGGCCTATCGCAGCCAAATAGGCAGATACGTGGTGGTAAGACCTGCCTATGCTCAGTTACCAAGACGCGACGTAGGGCCAATCTGATAATAAGGCAATAAGCGACATTGTGCCCACGTCGCGCGGGGTTATAGGGCAAAACCGGTTATACGGCAGCGCGCGGGTAGCCAAACAGCTGGCGCATGCTGCAGGCTACAGTCACGCGTACGATGCTGCGTACATGCCGTTCAGCTTTGCGCTGTGAACAGTATATCTTTCCGGAATGAGTGGGTCGGACGGTATTCCCAGCCCTACAAGCTGCATGCACTCGTTTGGCCTTAACCTTCAGGCAGTCGCTAGGGCGGCGTGTAAGACGGGAGCTAGGCACCCTCTTGCATGCCGCAGTGGGTCAAGTGGGGTCCGGCGGCCCGTTGGAACTCCGGTCGATGGGGCGGTACATGAGGCAGCATCAAGCGATGCCGTGTCGCTCTCTTAATCTTACTCCGCGGTTGAGTTGCTGGGAAAGTGACAAATAGATGTTGACTACCCAACTGCCGTGCCATCTGATTACATATCACGGCCAATAGTAGTCGCATGTCAATCCCGAAGCTCATGCTCACATACGATACCTATCCATACGCCATTGGCGAGCTTTTGCAACTCCTTCCAAATTGAGCGTACCGCGCGGTTGGCGATTATCGGTAACAGATGCTGTGCATCCGTGGCACCCCGCCGGGTTCGTAACACCGGCAGTTGTCTTTCTATCGGGCCGAAAGAACTACGGTAGCCTTACTTTCGGGCTCCGATGTGCTGACACCGGGTCAGCAAGGCATCCACTCCCACGTAAGTATGCGTCCTGCTGATCATCTCCACCGTCGGAGACATATAGCTGAGCCCGACAATTCGGTCGGCCTGAGTACCAACTCGCATGAAGCTTGCAACTGGTGGATTGACCCACCACTTTCCTCTTTCAGCTCATCGACGTGGGCGAACTGGCGTTTCATGAGGTCTCGGGTTGACTAACATGACATGCAGATGAACCAGTAGATGTATTGAGATACCGGATAGATGAAGGAATAACCAATCGCGAACCCCCAGCGAAGCCAGCAATCCTCCCGAAAGCGATATCTGCATGCTCGAAATGTGCTCTCGTAATCGCAAGTTGTTAAAGTATACAGTATTAGAACAATTCCTGGTAATATGTAATTACAAGAAGATGAAAGGTAAGACTAACCGAGCAACACTGCTGACATCTGTCGGAACAGGGGTCGATGGACGAGTTACACCACTGACTGCTTGCGTGCATGAACTCCTGGACGGTGCATTGCGATTGTTGGAGTGCTTTTACTTCTCTTGTTCTTAGATCCACGGAGCCAGCCAAGCCAGCTGTTCGAACTCTTTCGTCTCCCTGATGTTGGTTGAGCATCAGACGTAATCGTGCTCTCGACAAAGTGCGGCGGCGCCCCAATATCAGGAGTAGGTGCTATAGGTAAATGCACACGAGGGCTTGGTGAGGTGGTCCTGGTCTCACTACCCAAAGTTGGCTGGACGCGTATGGGTTTTGCAACATCCGAGGCGGTGGGAATTGGCGGATGAGCATCAGTAGGAAGCATTCGCTGTGTTAGATCGCCATGCTCATAGTTTTTCGAAGTCTTTGTAATGATTTCCTCAAGACCCCGTGGTATTTGCGCTGGAAGTTGCGTACGAACACCGAGACTATGCCTGACGGCTATCGCACAGCTACGATGATGCTCCATATCTGTGCCTTGGACGCTGTCTTTCCGTTTAGCCGCATCGCTGTACTCAGGAGGACAAGTACACCGGATTTGTTCGGCGACATCCTCCACCGGAATGCCACTTTCAGTTGTTCGCTGCCGTATATCCGGATATAGCCCATTGGAAGATACTATCGGGCAGCCCGTCTTTCTTCCCGTATCATCCAACCGATGACGCTGTGACAGCGGTAGTGACGGAGATGATATCGACAAAGCATCCCGGTCATCTTCTTTTGGCATCTCGCGTAGCTCGGAGCCTTCTGTACTGCCATTTGTTCGATCGCAAGGGTGCATCTCTTTTGGGTGTCGTGATCGCAACTCAAGAGAAGCAGGTGCGCTCTCCACAACGTCTCCATCGCGACAAGACACAGGTTCGTGGCTCGTTCCGATGGTAGAGGTCTCACAACGCTCGTTCCTACCCGCGACCTCGTCGACGCTATCGTTGCTCCAGAACCGTGTTGCCCGCGCCTTCCAATCTTCATCGGTTGAACTGGCGACTTCACGATCCTCCAGTGCGTTCAGATAGATGCACTTCTGTACAGCGCTGGCTTTAAGATATGTGAGAGACCACTCCCGAATCTTCTCTTTCGTTGTAGGATCATCTTTGATCGAATGGATAGCACTCTCGGTCTGTGTTCGTCGCATCGATGCTGAACATGGTGGTGTAGCTGTGAGGTCATACATTGGATCGGAATTCCGTCTTGCCAAAGGCCAAGCCGGTACTTCTCGGATTCCAGACATAGCTGCTACTTTCAGCTGCTGAGCGCTAGCTTCACAAGCCGAGAGTTCTTTTAGAATCTGGAAGTAATCGCTATTGGGAGCTGCGGGATCAATATCAGCAGTTTCGACTCCATCAGCAAATAGCACTCCCCCTCCCTCTTGCCATACGATATCAGATGCCTTGTCGTGCCGAATTCGGTCGAAACCCTTCCGTAATCTTTCTACCTCGGCAAGTTTAGCGAAGTATACTTCACTCGTGGGGATAGGCGTAGCGGTGACGTCCAGAGTAGAGACCACAGAGCGCAAGGACGGCGAATGAGCAGAATAATGGCTTGTATCGAACCACCCTGCTGCATATGCGATGGGACCGGGGGTCGGCGGGGACGACTGCGGCGGTGGTGGATGCGAAGGAAGATCATACGTTTGATCTTGAGAAGCAGCCACACCTTCTGAATCCTCCTGATTGACAATGCTCCAGATATCGAATTGATAGAACCCATTCTCTTGATCCATGAATCTCCATTCAGCCCCGGTAAGGTCGCGTTCAGCTTGCAGGTAATCCTCCTCGATTTCCCCCAGAATATCGCGGGCTTGCACAACAGCATTATAGGCGTCCAGTAGAGTCTCCGGTATCCCATCTTTAGGTTCGTTGATGAAATGTCGTAGTCGGTTCATGAAAACGACTTCAGCGTCTCCAGCGTCAACCCGCTTTAATCGAACATTGCGACTAGCAGTCCGCACCCTCTCACGCGTGATGAGCAGCTGCCTTCGAGCTGAAGCTAACTGATCTTGCGATTCTGACAAGCCCTCCAACCGGGCCTCGACGTTAGGTCGATTTTGCTGGGTTTGTGTAGTATATGTTCTTTCAACCTCGGTCGGAAAGTATTCTTCCATCTCGCGTCGACAATTCCAATGAGGTGTAGGTGGAAGGATGATTCTGCAGTGTTGGTATTACGGGGGATGAAGTCCTCTTTCATGACAGAAATGACAGCGTGATATGGCTCTCAAGGACGACCCTTGCAACATGCTCAGCCTTACCCTTGAGAATTGGCAGGAATAGACACTGGTCAGGTTCCAAGGCCGACCACTCCCCTATAAGACCGTACGTGACAGATAAATGTCCGTGAGAGCCACGGACCAGCAAGCGCGTGTGTCCGTTCGGGTTGTCAAACATGGGAGGAGCTGAAGCCGTCCAGCCGGTAATTGATTTGCGCTCGGGTGTAGTAACACGACAAAGCGAATCAGCTTATGCATGCAGGTTTCCGGCTTATCTAGTAACAATACTTGTGTTCGGGTGATTGGTGCGTGGAGGTACACGCCCCATTCCAGAATATGTGTGGGCCGTGCCGGTTTTGAAAATGCAAAACCGGTCTAGCCGGGAAGTCGCCTTGTTGCGCGTCGAAAGTGTCTCTATACAGTACGCGCCTGCTCGACATCCCAAGGGAAAGCAGATACAGCGCATATGCAGGTTGTTGCGGAGGTGGAGTTGTGCCATCCCAGATTCATGGCGCGCATCACACCCTCTTCTGCTGATCCTTATGAGATAGCAGAGCCGCAATGCTCCCGCTTTCCCAGCTTTTGCGCATATAAGACATACCTTCAGTCTCTGCAAGAGTAAGTAATACCTTGCAGGGATATCGAGCCACCCACATAGGTGTCGCAGGCGAATCTCGAAAGCGACCCCAATTCGATTGTGTATCCAGACAAGTTTGGAGATTCGCCCATTTTGAGCCTCAGTGTACAGAAAGCCCGACATGGCGGACAACAATCCAGGATGGACGTGGAGCGACGAATACCAGAACTACTACTATGTCGTATACGATCAGTACCGTCAGTTATAAAACGTCTCACGCTGATGTCCAGCCGCTGACCGCTCTAGAACGCCCTGTTTACTATTGGCGCCAACAGTCTCAAGCCTACGTCCAACAAGCTGGGTCTCAGGCACTCGACACGCGTCCCAGACACGACTCAGCGATCGAGCAACAAATTCTTGAGCCGCAGATGCCGGAGCCGGGTATGACAAACTAGTCATCTTGCAACAGAGGAGGCACTGACTTGGTCTTCCTAGCTCCACGAGACGTTCGTACGCTACAAGGTTTCATATCAGGCACGCCACAGACTGGGTGGTATGATCGTCTAGACGTTGGTCAGTACATCAACACATTCGCAGGTTTCTTCTAATACCATGCCAGCTTATCGGATGCGGACTGGTCACGAAGCGCGAGAGTTTTTCAAAGTGGGCAAGATTTTTGCCATGCTATACACCGAGACCGCAAGCGACACCTCCTTCCAGCACCCCAACGACGAAGCATACACAGTGATACGGTTTGGGCAAACCGCACACACTAATATTCGCCGCTTCGTTGTTGTAGAAGTGAGGCGGGGTTTCGTGAACGCTTGGTAAGATTCTGTGCAGCTGTCCGAAGTCGTGGCGAAGTGTTGATCCATGTTAGTGGTATCGGTACCTATTCCGGCCGTGGCACTCTCAAGGACGGGTGCAACCCAGCCGAACACACAATCGTGTACTTCTCCGGAACTGATCCTGCATCATGCTACATTCCCGGCGAATATGAAAGCGGCATGACCAAAGAGCCAATCGAGGTTGTGCCAGCTGAACCAAACCTGAGTATCAGGAGGGAGTCTCGCATCCGATTCGGCAAAGTATATCCAATCGAGATGAACGTCAAAGTCAAAGACATTGGCCGAGTCCGCGAAGACCAGATCAGTGCACTGCTCAGCTACTGGCAGCAGGAAAACCACACACCAATTACGCCTGCTCCCTCATCTTCGAACGCCTTCTCTTCGAACAGCTGGTCATCGGGTGGGTTTTCTTCTCAGCGTGTGTAACTGCCTCATGTTGGTATACGAGTGTAGAGCCTGACCCCATTCGATCGGCGAAAGTTTCAGCTACCCTTATGAGATCACGAAACTAACGGCCGAAGTATTCCATATTGGCGTTGACGAGGTCCGGTGCGTTCGCGTACCGTCCTTTTGGCCTTCTCCCCATCACATACGTTATATATGACCAAATTGAATGACTTCTCCTACAAAAGCAGGTGCCTTTCGTGATCTGGTCTGCTAGAGTATGGTGATAGGCCCAGTCGGTACCGTAGTTTTCCTATCGTGAGATGGCGTACGGCGAACGAAGGACTACGAGTGGCGGTGTTCGATCGAAGCGTATGCGGGAGTTTCGCGATTCGGGTGGGTTCGAGGCTGCGGTATCCGGATGTCAATACACACATTCTGCATCCTCTCTCGCTACACGGCGCATGGGCACCGGTGCTTCTTAGAAGATGAAGCGCGATTACTGGAAATCCGATGATCCGTTGAGCGCGACTTTGAAGCCATAGGTCCAGCGGCATCGAGGCGCGGCGCGTAGCTGCCAGGGTCGGAGGCGCAATATCTTGGCCGTGATGGAAAGGAGGTCGGCGTTTGAGACAGGTCGCATTCACGCTGACGATATTAGCAGGGCGCTCGTCAATAAATCGTGGGTGCGCAAGAGTGTTCGAGGGTGGAGGGGTGGAGCGGAAGGCGGCATGGGTCACGCGCCATCTAGTGGGTCCGCACCGCCGCGCCCATCATCCAGATATAGTACGGCATCGACACCAAATATTACAACGTGCCAACCGACATGCAATCTTTACGGCTAACGCGAAGAGAAAGTGCGGATGCATCCAGTGCAATTTGAGACCATAGCATTGAAGGCCGATGCTCACAAACACGTCCATCCGCGCAGTAAAGACTATACCCAATTCTTTCACCTTAGTATGATGCTCGACTTCAGGAATGTTTACATAATGTATGTGCGGATCGGATGAGAGGTACTGAGCAATGGCCACGTGAACACATGTTACCGGCTTCTAGATATTACGATCATTGGAAGGATGGCTCGCCATTGTATTGTATTCCTAAAGCTGGTGGCTGACTTTCGTAGACATAAATAGAGAACCTTCAAGGACGAAATGCCTCACTTCCTCCCCTTGCCCCTCGCATTGAACGTCTTCAAAGGGTCGACCTTGCCATTCCTTCGTACCACTTTCCTGCCCTTGCCCTTGGTATATTGTTTCTTCGCCCTTGGTATGTTCAGGCCGACAAAGCCAACATCCTGCGGCTTCTTCCCTCCTGGTAGGAGGTAATCGGGGATGTGTCGCAAGTGGGGTTGTATTCTCGCGGGATGGTTGAGAGTCTGGTCGTGGCGGAGATGCGCGAGTGCTTCAGGGTTTTCTTCGAACTGTTGCAATGTTAGTATGAACCAGCAGTGAATGATGCGGGTGAACTTACGTATCGCGACAGCTTCTGCGACTTTGCCAGCTCCATGTGGATTTCCTTGATACGTGCCTCGCGGATGGCGATCCTGGTCACCGACTTCAGGGCATCTGCGAACCGGTATCGGAATGGCTCTAATCGTTTCATGTCGAATTGGTAATCCTCCAGCTTTTGGCCCTCTTCTTGATGCTGCTCTACCTTCTTCAGAACCTCTTCATCATGTTCGCATCCAGCAAATGTAGTCGGCTTATGCTTGCGGTATTTCTCCTTCGGGATGATGAACGAAATGGCCGTGCCAGACTTGCCGGCTCGTGCTGTTCGTCCAATTCGATGGAAGTATGATTTGTAGTTCCCGGGGAAGTCGAAGTTGATTATACAGCTGACGTTGAGGAAGTCGATGCCGCGAGAGACGCCGGAGTCGGTCTCCTTGTCCTTTTTCGCTTTCTTCTTTGGTCGCGACTCATCTTGCACGCCAACGACGTCGGTTTCGTCTGAAGCAATGAGGATCTTATAGAGATCTTTGTTGAACTCCTCCACAATGTGTGTTCGGGACGCCAGCGGCAGTTCGGAGTTGAGTACGATCGCCTTGATGCCGAATTGCTCGAGAAAGAGTTTGACGCGGTATGATCGGTCGACGTCGCCAACGAATACGATACTGGGGGGAGAAAGTCAGCGTGAGTCCCCAATGTAGTTCATGCCGGTGCCTTTTACCTCTTTCCATGGACCAGATTGAGTTTCATCATGGCGAAAAGCAAGAGAAATTTGTCGTCCTCTGCCACCTTTAGGACGTATTGCTTGACCTTCTGCGAGTCTTTATCCAGGTCTTGTAGCTTTAGTACAACTGGATCTGTACAGAGCAGGCTGCCGAGTGACTCAACATCAGTTGAGAGGGTGGCTGAAAGGACGATCTTCTGGACACCAACAGGAATCTCCCGGGCGATGTTCTCCATGTCGTCTGCGAACCCGTAACCGTTGATCAGGTCACCCTCGTCTACGACAAGCGTCTTGATGTCGCTGACTGCCATGGCAGAGCTGTTGATGTTTGCCCATGCCCTCGCTGGTGTTGCGACGACGATCTCTGGTTTGTCCGCGAGTGCTGCCTTGATGACGACATCCGATTCCTTGCCAGCGATGTTGCGGACCCGAATCGATTGCCCACAGTGTTGTGAGAGCGATTTCGCGACTGTCGCGATTTGTGAGCAGAGTTCCTTAGTGGGCGCCAGGATGAGCGATTGGCCTTTCTGCTGCAGCGTCTTGTGAAGGATGGGCAACAAGTAGGCTCCCGTCTTTCCGGTACCTGTCCCCGAGCGCGCGAGGACGTCACGTCCCTCTAGTATTAACGGTATGCCTTGAGATTGTACTGCCGTTGGCGATGCCCATTTTAGGTCGCGGATCGCTCTCAGAAGACGGGGCTCGAGTTGTAGTTCGGCGAATGAGGCGACTATAGGGACTGGCTCAGCGGCAGGTTTCGACTTAGAGCTCTTCTTCTTCTTCGGTGTGGCAGCGACTGCAATCGAAGGCGCAGTTGTGGTGGATGTCGCGGGCTCGGGGGAGCTGCGGGGCTCAGATTGCGACTCATCGCTCGATGTCACCTCTGGCACGTCGTGCTCGTTGAGTTTGCGCTTCGCCATCGTGTCGGAATTTGATTCGAATCTACGGAATGTGGTCGCGTCGGTGTTCGTCGAGGTTTGCGCTGCCTGCATCTACCAGTTCTGAACTTTTTTGGCGCTACTGCCGGGCGGCCTTGGCGCGACCCACAGCGGAGGAGCGACTGCTGAACGCTGATGCCCTGCGTCAGTCGCGACTTCCACACACGCGCCTTGCACACACGCGAAAGGGACTGAGTGGCAGGCACACGACACCGGTGACACCAAGCAGCATACTGCAGTATCAAATGTCCAGAACCTCTACATCGTCATTATACAGCACTACATACGTCTTCTCGTCGATCCTCGACTAGGAATGCGCCCGTTCGAAGCCCAGACACAGCACAAGCAGTCATCCGTTGCAACAAGGGCACTCGAGCACGACCTCGTCAGCTCAATTTCACAACAATTAGCCTCCGATCCCGATGAGGCCCTGATTCGTCTTGCAATAGTCGTCGCATGTAGCCTGCAGTTTCACGTTAATAGGTGCCCGTAAGCAAGCCAACACGAATACGTACCCTAGGCATGCCTCTTCTACCCCCATCCTGCACCATCTTCTCCAACGCTGCAACATACTTGGTGATCTCCTCATTTCCCAGCTTCTTCAACGCCTTCAAAACAGCATCGATCGTTTCCTGATCAGGTCCTTGATCACTCGTACTCATCAGGTCGATACCCGGGGGCGTTTGGGTGAACTCCACTGCCGTCGAATAGCTCGCGTAGTATGGGACTCTGTTCGCGTCACAGCCCCAAACCAAGATGCTGTACTGGCACGTGGCTCCGACCAAGATCCCAGTCCCTGCAAAGTCCAGCACTGCTGGCAAGCTGGGATGCGGCGTGTCGACGCCATATGTTGTAATGATTGTGTCATTGCCTGGAAATTGGAATGAGAAGAGATCGTTCACAACTCCAGTGGGCTCAGAGGGATCGATCGGTGTCGGGTCGTATTGGACGTTCCGCATCGCAGCATACTGAGGGTTTGACGCGAGAATCATTGACCATGGTTTGAAGTAAAAACCGACAGGTGGTGGTGGCCATGATCTGCCGTGATGTGCATGGTTGGTGGTATTGAACGTTGGAGGTATGCGAACCTGCACGCCTTCCGCACCCACCTTGCGCGGACATCCGTCTGGGGTGGTGTGCGCAATGGCACCGAGTGCAACCACGAGGAGTATCAAGATGGAGAGCATGATGCTGGTGGAAGTGTGTAAACCAAGAAAACGTGCTTAAGTCTTCAGAATATAAGCATTCGACATCCGAAGCTCCCGCTGACTGTCTACCTGATTAGGAAAGAGGCCGGGGTAGTTGCTCGTGGTCGTCGTACGATGCCGAATGGACACGCCAACCGAGCCGTGAGTCTGGTCACTCGCTTCTCACCACGCACAACAAGTACGAGATATTACTTGCTCTGTATTCGAAGACTCCTAATGTGCGCTGGAACGTCTTCCTTGGTAATCCTGTTGCAAAGATATGTCGACAGCTACCGGCACTAATGCGAAGGGAAGCCTTACCTAGATTTTCAACGCTCGTTTCCTGGGCAAAGGGCCTTTCCAAGTACGACAGCCTCGTGCAAGCGTGAGTAAGCCCAACGAAGCACCAATGACGACTTGCTTCTCTATAGTGCGACGCCAACATAAACTCCTTGTACTTTGAACAACGAACCGTCTCGTAGATTTCGCAAAAGGTTCGTCGCAGTCGCAGGGCGCAATGTTCCGATAGAATATCTTCAGTATCATTCTGTTCCGCTGCTTTGGATCAACAATTCTAACCACTCCTATAATATACACCTAAAGATGAGCTTTCCACTTCTACTTGCTCACAGGTACCATCTAATCTCCCAGCGAGAGCTAGAGTAGATCCATACTGTCCTCCCGAAATTGTTGGTGTTGAGCGGTAGAATATGGCGGCAGAGGATGGCGGAAAGAGGGCCCGTGTATGCCGGACTCAAAGCTGTAATCGCGCGAACGTGCGCGGACGACCAGAATGCAGTTGAAGGACACTCTCGAGAGGAATCAGCACGTATGTGTCGAAGGTATCGAGTAACGACAACATTGCGAAGATGCAGGTCGATCATTACCGTGGAGAAAGCCGGACCACAGGGGTCCTCTAATGCAAGCCGACTTCGGACTCCACCGCCAGCGCGTCCTCATTGGCTACCACACCATCGCTTATCTTCACTCTCCCGTTTACCTCATCGAAACCACCAACCCCAACCTGCCTCCAACATGCCCACCATCTCCACGCCCAGACCTGGTTCTGTCTACCCAAGCACAAAGTCACAGATATCAGCCACTCACAGCTATCCAAGAAAATTTCCGCTGAGCCATTCGGTCCTGCCCGCCACTACGAGGCAAGCGCGATGCACCTCCGTTGCAAGGCCGTTCGTTATCAGCATAGGCGAGCGATCATGCAACGCCCAGTCGGCTAAGAGCTGGAAGTGCCCTACAACAAGACCTCATTGCTAATATAAGCTTCAAAATTGCGTAGACGACGAGAGGTTTTCAGTCTTGGCCGTCGTTGCACGTTACCTAGTCTTGACATGCGCCTATCTGTAACCAATCATGTGCCGGCCCGATTGCCAATCGACGAGATGGTTGTGTGCGGTTGAAAGGCTCGAGATAGCAGTCTTGGGACCGAGCTGAAGCCGGGAAACGGTAATCGTGGGGATGCATTGGGGTATAGATACCTCGTCTGCCCCGCTGGGATGGTCCGACAGCCAACGCTTTGAAGCTTGACGTTGAACCAAGCTACATCTCTCGACATGGCTGGCGGCGGTACTCCTGTTGGCCCTTCTGCTTCTCCCCTTGGCCAGGGTTGGGGCTATGGCATCGTGCTTGGTGTTGGCTTTCTCTTCGCCCTTGGCATGGTATGTGTACATGATTGCAACAAGCGCATCGATCTGACAACCTCAAGGTCTTCACCACTTGGGTCCTCAAACGCTACAACAATGAGGTGCAAACTTCGGAGATGTTCTCAACTGCCGGTCGTACTGTCAAGTCTGGCCTAGTAGCTTCAGCAGTAGTGTCTTCATGGACTTGGGCAGCTACTCTGTTGCAGAGTTCTTCGGTCGCGTTCCGCTACGGTTCGTTTCGACACTGCATCACAAAAATTCACAAATCTGATTGCCATTAGGTGTTTCTGGACCTCTCTGGTATGCCGCTGGTGCTACCGTACAGATCCTACTCTTTGCTACGGTTGCGATCGAACTCAAGAGGCGAGCTCCTAACGCTCATGTGAGTGCAGCATATCCTAGCCATCGTAGATTCAGATCTGACCATCCCGTAGACGTTCCTTGAAGCTGTGCGTGCTCGATACGGAAAGGCCACGCATTTCGTGTACATCACGTTCGGCCTTTTCACCAACATACTCGTGACAGCCATGTTGTTGACTGGTGGATCTGCCGTCATCAGCTCTCTAACCGGTGTACCTACAGCCGCAGCCTGTTTCCTACTTCCTCTGGGTGTCGTAGTCTACACCATGTTTGGTGGTATCAAGGCTACGTTTCTCACGGATTACGTCCACACCGTTATCCTCCTCATCATCCTCCTTACTTTCGCATTCACGACTTATGCTACTGGTGACCGGCTCGGCTCGCCCAAAGCAGTGTACGATCGTCTGCAGGAGCTTTCGGCAACCACCCCCGTTCCCGGCAACGCTGGCGGAAGCTATCTGACGATGAGAAGCAAAGATGGCGCCATCTTCTTCGTCATCAACATTATTGGAAACTTCGGAACTGTCTTCATGGACAATGGATGTGAGTGTTCCTCTAGACAGAGTGTCATCAGAAACTGACTAGAGGCAGACTACAACAAGGCGATTGCTGCATCCCCAGTTCATGCTCTTCCTGGATACATCATCGGAGGTCTTTCATGGTTCGCTATCCCTGTAAGTACTCCTTCCATGCGCATCTCGAATCGCGTCTGATCTCGTCGTCAGTGGCTTTGCGCAACCACTATGGGCCTCGCCGCTCTGGCACTGCAGAGCACGGAGTACTTCCCTACTTATCCCAACGGCATGGATGAAGCCTCTATCAGCGCGGGCCTCACCCTTCCATATGCTGCTGTGGCGCTCCTCGGATCTGGCGGTGCAGTGGCTACTCTACTAGTCGTGTTCATGGCCGTCACTTCAGCTTTCTCGGCGCAGCTCATTGCTGTCTCTAGCATCTTGACATACGACATCTACGCAACCTATATCAACCCCAGCGCGAGTGGCCGACGTCTCGTCTACACTTCACACGTCTGCGTATGTGGATTTGGGCTTGTCATGGCTGCATTCTCAACCGGCCTCTGGTATGCAGGTATCAGCATGGGCTGGCTGTACGTCTTCATGGGTGTAATCATTTCGTCTGCGGTGCTTCCAGCCACCCTCACATTGATGTGGAAGGGTCAGAACAAATGGGCGGCTACTTTGTCGCCAGTGTTGGGTCTTTGCTGCAGCATCACCGCCTGGCTCGTCACCACCTCCAAGCTGAACGACGGCGTGATCACTGTCGCTACTTCTGGCGCCAACAACCCAATGTTGGCTGGTAACGTGGTCGCGTTGCTCTCACCCGTCATCTTCATCCCGGTCCTGACCCTGATCTTCGGAGTTGACAACTACGACTGGGTGTCAATGAAGAACATTCGCCTTGTCGACGATTCGGATGTTACAGCAGCTGCGCACATGGATATCGAAGCCGTGCACGGCCGCCATGCTGCCCTCTCCCCAGAAGCCGAAGCCGCCGAACAAGCCAAGCTGTTCCGCGCCTCCAAGATTGCAAAGATCACCACCGCGACGCTGACACTCGTTCTTCTCGTACTTTGGCCAATGCCTCTCTATGGTTCCGGCTACATCTTCAGTCAGTCGTTCTTCTCAGGATGGGTCATCGTTGGCATCATCTGGCTGATGTGCAGTACTATGGCTGTTGGTGTATATCCTCTATGGGAAGGCCGTGAGAGTTTAGCCAGGAACTTCGGTGGTATGTGGCGCGACATCACTGGCAAGGGCCGTCGTCGCGGGGATCATGTTGAGGTGGTGGAAGGTGAGAAGACAGCTGCGTCAGGAACGCAAACACCTAAGGAGGCTGATGCGAAGGCGTTGGAAGAGAAATCGTAGATGAAGTTGGCAGACACACACACACATACGGTGGAGCCTTCATTAGACTGTCCTATACCTCGCGCAAGAATGGAAGATTCTCTGGAGAGCACAGATTTCCCGTGTACTGGTGATTAGTAGCAGCTGTTCCAGGCCGCAACAGGCAAGCGTCCCGCTCGGTGCTTCCCTCGGCCACCTCCTGAACTCTTGCACATCACCGCGAGCATCGACCCGGTTGCTGGTACCTCGTGATATTGATTACAACTCTGTCTAACGCTCTCAAGACGCGCTCGGTGCTTCTTCGCCCAACGCTGTGGCGGTTGACCACGTTTTGCAGGGAGCCTCACCCGTGTAACCACGAACGCCTTCCCAAATCCAGGATACACGCGCGGGCAAACACCGCCCCAAGAACGCGCTACTGGGCAACGAAGAAGCGCGATTGCAGGAAGTTCCGGAACAATGTTCTTGTCGATCAAATTGTCCGGGGTTGCTCCAGGTACCCCGCGACCCCAGTGCTTACCCGGTAATAACTTCGGGGCATCTCCGCCGAGAGGCACGTTAGCTTTCTTCGAGCGACGTGTATGTTTGCAGCGGTATATAATGACCACAGCTACTATGGCTTCAAGTTTATCCTCGCCAAGTACTCTCGCGCATCGCTGCAATCATCATGAGCGCCCTCAAGTTCCTCGGCCTTGCTGCGCTTGCTGCAGCGGCTCCAGTGGAGGAGCGCGCAAAGAAGCCAAAGAGCTTCCTGAAAGAGCTTGGAAACTCGACTTGGATTATCGGCAATGAGATCTGGAATGTCACGCAGAATCGCCAGTATGCCGATAAGTTGTGGTACAAGGGCAAGGACCGCGTTGGAGATGCTGTTGGGCACTATGTTAGTTACAGTATGTGTGAAGAGGTGCTGCGGCAGGAGAGTCACAACACAGCTAACAACCTGTAGACGGTGCAGCATCCGATCTGAACTGGACATCCGCTGCGATCGTGGACTCGGATACCGATTACATCAACGTCAAATTTACGGCGAAGGAGGGCGACTTTCATTGGGTGATCTACGATGACCTTCCAGGCGCATACCAGTACTTTGTCAATCACGACCTACCTACGCTGGGCG